ATAGATAGATAGATAGATAGATAGATAGATAGATAGATAGATAGATAGATAGATTCACTAAGTAAAAAATTCAGATATAAGTTTCTAGGATGAGAATTATTTTCTCTCAACATTGTTGGTATTGAGAAGTTAGCTTTCATTTTAATAATTCCACAATTTCTTGTGTTTATTTATTTATTATTTTTTTATTTTTTTGAGACAGAGTCTTGCTCTGTCACCCAGGCTGGAGTGCAGTGGTGCAATCTCGGCTCACTGCAACCTCCACCTCCTGAGTTCATGCAGTTATCCTGCCTCAGCCTCTAGAGTAGCTAGGATTACAGGCATGTACCACCGTGCCCGGCTAATTTTTTTGTATTTTTAGTAGAGATGGGGTTTCACCGTGTTGCCAGGCTGGTCTCAAACTCCTGGGCTCAAGTGATCCACCTGCCTCAGCCTCCCAAAGTGCTGGGATTAAAGGCATGAGACCATGCCCAGCAATTTCTTGTGTTTAGATGTGTATTTCTTTTATTTGGTTGGAATTTCTTAGACTTCCTGAAGTTAAGATTTCATGTTGAAACATCAATTCTGGAAAATTCTCATATATTATCTCTTCAATATTATGTCTTTCCTGCTGTCCTGCTTTTATTTATTTACTCTTTAAAAAAATTTTTTATTTTTGGCTGGTTGTGGTGGCTCACACCTGTAATCCCAGCACTTTGGGAGGCTGAAGTGGGCGAATCACCTGAGGTCGGGAGTTCGAGACCAGCCCCACCAACATGGAGAAACCCCATCTCCACTAAATATACAAAATTAGCCGGTTGTGGTAGCACATCCCTGTAATCCTAGCTACTAGGGAGGCTGAGGCAGGAGAATCACTTGAACCTGGGAGGTGGAGGTTGTGATGAGCTGAGATGACACCATTGCACTCCAGCCTGGACAACAAGAATGAAACTCCATCTCAAAACAAAAAAATTTTTTTTTAATTATTTTTTTAGAGACAGGGTCTTGCCCTGTTACCCAGGCTAGAGTATAGTGGTACAATCATAGCTCACTGCAGCCTCAAACTCCTGAGCTCAAGTGATTCCTCCTGCCACAGCCTCCAACTAGCTGGAACTACAGGCACACGCCACCATGCCCAGCTAATTTTTTAATTTTAATTTTATTATTATTATTTTTTTAGAGATGGGGTCTTGCTGTGTTGCCCAGGCTGGTCTCGAACTCCTGCGCTCAAACCATCCTCTCACCTCAGCCTCCCACATAAGCTGGGACTACAGGTGCATGCCACCATACTTCTCTCTTTCTGTACTCTGGTTAGTTGTATGTCAGACCTTTTTACTCTATCCTTCTTTTACTCTGTCTTTCACTGCCTCTTGCATTTTACATGTTTACTTTTCTCTTCCTATGCTGTGTTCTGGATTATTTTTTTCAGATCTCTCATCTAGTTACTGATTTTCCTTTTAAGCTATGTCGAATCTGATGTTTAGTCTATTTACCAAGTTTTAAATTTCACTTTTTAAGTTTTTTTCTAGACATTCTATTTGGTTATTTTTTCATATCTTCTTGGTCATTTTTTTCAGTCTCTTTTCCCTAATTTGTATTTTCAGTCCCTTCTTTCAAACATATGAAACATACTTGTGTCCTGTCTAGTAATTCCAGTAACTATTAATTAATGTTTTGGGGTCTGGTTCTGTAATTTGTTGTTTCTGTTGGCTATTACTCATGGGCTTGCTTCCCTGTGTTTTTGTGATTCTTGACTATGAGCTCATGTTCTTTGGAAATTTTCCTTTTTTTTTCTTTTTTCTTTTTATATTTTCTTTTTTCCCCCCAGAGACCTTTGTTCTGAGGAAGTTTTTCTGTGGGAATCTTTTTAGGCCTGAGGCAAAGGAGTTTTTCCTCAGAGGATTGTTTATGCTTCTGTCAGGAAGCTGGAGGACCAGCATCCCAGGACCACCTTAAAGTAAATTTTCTGTTTAAAGTTTTTTGACCCACAGTCAGACCCAGACCCCATGTGCAGCTTAGCTTCTGGTTATGAATTCTCAGAGGAGACTTTTTTCCTACCCTGTATCAAGGTTGAGATAAGCATATTTCCTTGATAATTTCCTTCTATAGAGTTTATTTTGTTTTGTCCCCTCTCCACATCCCTCCGGTTTCTTTTTCTCCCTTCCTCCCCATCTCTTCCTTCTTTTTGCCTTTTCTCCCTTAAGCTGAGGTCACTATAGCCCAGAGATAGGCATTTTTTTTTTCTTTTTAGAGATGGACTATCACTATGTTGCTCAGGCTGATCTTGAGCTCCTGGGCTCAAGGGATCCTCCTGTCTCAGCCTCCTGAATAGCTGGGACCACAGGCACAGTACACCATGTCTGACTTTTTGTTAAGGACTGTATACTAGGCTTTGCAGATCATAGGGTCTCTGTCACAATTACCTAACTTTGCAATTGTAGTGCAGAAGCAGCGATATATAAACAAACGAGCATGACTGTGCTCAAATAAAACTTTATGTATGGATACTGAAATGTGAATTTCATATAATTTTCACATGTCACAGAACATTATTATTATTATTATTTTTTTTTTTCAGACGGAGTCTCGCTCTGTCGCCCAGGCTGGAGTGCAGTGGCCGGATCTCGGCTCACTACAAGCTCCGCCTCCCAGGTTTATGCCATTCTCCTGCCTCAGCCTCCCGAGTAGCTGGGACTACAGGCGCCCGCCACCTCGCCCGGCTAGTTTTTTGTATTTTTTAGTAGAGACGGGGTTTCACCATGTTAGCCAGGATGGTCTCGATCTCCTGACCTCGTGATCCGCCCGTCTCGGCCTCCCAAAGTGCTGGGATTACAGGCCTGAGCCACTGCGCCCGGCCACAAAACATTATTGTTTTTAACCATTAAAAATGTAAAGGCTAGATGCAGTGGCTCATGCTTATAATCCTACCACTTTGGGAGGCTGAGGCAGGACAATTGGTTGAGACCAACCAGGGCAACATAGCAAGACCCTGTCTCTTTAAAAAAAAAAAAAAAAAAAAGCCTAAAAGGTAAAGGCTGGGTACAGTGGCTCACACCTATAA